ATATATATATATATATATATATATATATATATATATATATATATATATATTCATCGATATTTGATCTATTGATTGATTAATTCATATTTAATTTTGTAGAAACCTATTATGACAATAATCCTCCTAATTCAGTTTAATTCATTCACCATACGAAAATTCAAACTCGTTTTAGATCTGGTATTGTTTAAAAAACCTAATGTCTCGTTTAAGAACCTAACACCTCATCGCATTAGATCAACTTTATCCGTTTCTTCAAACATATATGCATATGAGATAACCCGAATCAATTATAAAAAAACAATCAAGTAAAGTAAATTAAACTATATTATCATTGATTTTAAAATTTTTAAAGCTTCAAATTAAAAAAATAGAATATTATTAATATTACTAATTATTTTAATTAAAATATTTATTTAAAATGTCCATGTCGACATTTTTATTGAAATAAACACTACTAGCTATGACATAATATAATTAAAGATCAAATTATACCAAATTAAAATATAGAGATTAAATACTAAATTTAAACATAATCGAGGGATCAAAACCAAAATTTGACCTAAAAGTTTTTCCAGCTTACTTGGTTTGGTGGTTGTGATCGCACCAGTTCCATGAAAATCGCAGGCGCTATCGCTTTCTTTAAACTTGAAGTAAGAATTCATGGCGAATGCGGCACGAGACTTGACGGTGGACGGTACAGAACAAGCGCCGCCGGGTTGAATCGGACGGCAATCGATGCCGTGTTTGCATGCCCAATCCAGGTTTCTCTGCAGTTGGGCTTCGCTTACTCCCGGTTTCGGCAGACAAAACTTCATTCTATTGTCCACTAATGATCCTCCTCATCTTATCGTCCCTGATGCGGCGGAGGAGAAGAGGTGGAAGACTACGGTGCCGTGCAGGAGGAAAGCAACACTGCCCAATGGCTTCATGATTCCAATTTTATTATTTTATTATTTCTTTATTGCAATTTTTATTAGACGTTTGATTTTGTTTCTGGGGGTATAATTCGTGGATATACAGAGAAGCTGAATAAACCATAGAAGTTAGTTTTTTTAATCAGTATTTTGACATACGGGGAACAAATAATCAACGGTTTCGCTTATCCATATAAAAATTTGGTTTATTTAAAAGGTTAATTACACACGAATTAAGTGATTTAGTGATTAAGAGATTTGTTATTTTTTTAAGGTCTTGAATTTGAACACCATATATATAGAAGTATGAACATTCATTGTTAGAAATCAAACTTGATTTCTAGAATATTGACAAACACTTGACAATGAGGAAAGTGATTTAAAACCGTGACAAACAACTAACGAGAAACTTCTTGAATTACTTAAAGATTAATTCAATTATCCAACATGTGGAAAATAACAATGGATGGACTTTGAAAAGTCAAAAATTGCAGCTGTCCAAAGAGGAGAATACTAGCATGACGACAAAGCAAGAAAATACGTGAAGAATTATAAGTCGGCATGAAGAATGTAGAACCAACTATACGTCGGTTTAATTAACTCATAAATATATGCAATGTATGAGATGGAATACAAGAGAAGGAATAAGAGGAAAAACTTAGAAAATCAAGAATGAGAGATAGCTTAGCAAAGCTATTAGAGAGAATTGAGTAAAGCTTAGCAAAGCTTAGAATAGCGAGGTTGTGTTTGTAAACAAGCCGTAGCTAGTGTTGTAGTATTGTAATATTGGGGTAACGTCGTTGTAACGGATTTTACCTCGTATCAATAATGGTTCGAGTTATATAAATTACCGAGAGCCCACCTACGCTTCCAACATCATTGTCAATAAAAAAATATTACATTTATTCATCTTGGATTTATAAAAAAGAAAAAGATTAATTGTTTGTTTGACATGTGTATTACATCAAATAAAAAATTAAGGATGCAATTGGAAATTTAATTAAATAACTATGCTTAATTTTGCTATTATGCCTTAAGAATGTAAAGAATTAAAATGATTATTTATAAACTTTTGAAATAATGATATTAACATTGTTAAAAAAACTGAAGGTGGAAATAAGTAATAGTGAAAAAAATTTAAAATAATATGTAGTGATTATAAGATATTACTTACACACCTTATAATCGTACTTGTTTGAAATTAAGATCTTTAATAAAAACAACATTCTCTCTAACCTTATTTGATGGGTTAATAAATAATGGGTTAATTATACTATTCCTCACTCAACTTTATTCTCTCTTATTTTACACACTGAACTTTTAGTTTTTTTCAATTTGCTCACTAAACTTTGACATTGATCTTGTTTTTGTCACCCTGTCGTTAAAAAATTAACGGCGTTATAACATGGCACATGACATCAAAGCGGCATCATTTTTAAAAAATTAAATTTTTACTAAAACGACGTCGTTTTTGCATCTATACAAAACCTGAAATACCTGAAATTTCCTTCATTTTCCTTATTTTCTTCTCTTCTTTTTATTTCTTTCATTTTCTCTCAACATGGTAGAATTTCGATCATTGTTCGTCGTGGCCGACCACCGTTGGCCATCGTTGACAGTGACCAATGAGCCCTAAAATTTTCCACCTAACTCGTCTTGTCCTCTTAAACATAAATACGGTGTCCATTTAACCTAAAATCCCTTAAATTTAATGGATCTAACGTTGAATACTTTTTTATTTTTTTATTAGATATTTGTCATTCGTCGTTGACAGTCACACTCTTCCACCAACGACGGGGGCTCATCGACTGCCTGGCATTGTCGATCAACCTCTTCATTTCTATCACCCTTCGTCTGCCACCGATCCCTCTCAAACAACTGAACATAAACTTTAAAGCCATATACAGTAGTTTTTGCTGCCTAATATTCTCCATGGGTGTAAAGGAAACGATTCAAGTCCAAGGGTAAAACGTAGTTCATAAATCATATCAACGATAGCTTTTCTAATGCTTAAACGCAAGCTAAAACGAGATACGGCGGCAGTTGGAGGGTGAGGGTGGGGTGGGGCTGTAATTTGGGAATAGGGTTTAGGAATAAAAATTTAAGAATTTTCATTTTTATTTTATTTTAAATATTGCATGTCATAATTAAATATTAATAAAAAAGATATATCATCATTATGTATTAATAAAAAAAGCCACATCATCCAATTGTAAAAAATAAAACAGTTGAGTGAGCAAAATAATTCGATCTATAAAGTTAAATAGTATATTGGAGAAATTTAAATAGTATATTGGAAAAATTAAAAGTTAAGTGAGTAAAATAGGAGAGATAATAAAGTTCAGTGAGAAACGGTATAATTTACCCAAAAATAATAAAATTTTGATGATTAATCTTACTTTTATACCAAAGTAAAAGGTGTTATTGGGGGGAAGTGTCACATGCCAATCATTGATTGGTTTGAATATTTTATATAATCTTTAATTGTATAGTTTTAAAGATTAACGGTAAAATTGAAAAAAATCGAATCTTTGAGTGTTAATCCTGTTATCATACTCTAAGCAAATAAAAAGATTTTGGAAATTATCACGTGTCAATTTCTTAATGGCTCACTATTGCCATGAAAGATTCTATGACGAAAATGGGTAAAATGTTTCACGATAATTTATATATGAAATTAAGAAATGATTTATATGATATTGAAGAATTAAGTATAATACATATATCATACAAATAATTATTTTTTAAGAAAATACATGAACCAAACATTTTTAGTTAAGTGAACACGTCAAGTGATTTAGTGGTTGAAGGAAGTGTTGTTCTCCCTAAAAGTTTAACAGTGGTGTAACTTGATTAGAGTTTGGATGACCAACTTAAAATTTTAAAAAAATTAGAGGTGTAAATTAAAATTTCCTAAATTTTTGAAGAGTTCAGTTTATATTTTTCAAAAAAATTGGGGTGTAATTAAAATTTTTGAAAAATTTAAAGGCTTAATGGAAAATTTTTAAAAATTATGGGAGGGTTTAATTAAAATTTTTAAAGTTTAATATGAATTTCTAAAAAAGAAATTAGGGGCCAAATTAGTTGTTTTTTTAAAAAAAATTTAAAGTTCAAAATAAAAAATAAAAAATTGGGAGGCATGGCCCCCTCCCATGGTGTTTGTCTTGGGTTCAAGTAATTATACCCGTGAGAGTGTGTCTGTTGTCAATAGCTTTATTTATTTATTTTGATTTTATTCATATTGAAATTTTATTTATGCTTATTCCATTTATAAAAATTTTATGGTGTTAATATACGCGTTTACCTTAAAAAATATTTCTAGATTTTCTAGTTTGTGAAACTAAAAAATCTATAGGAGGTGGTGTTGTTTATGGGTGACGTTCGATTTAGTCGAGTCGAGTAAAATAATTTTGAGTTATTCGAGTTGACGAGTACTATTTTATACCTCAAAAGTTGACTTTAGTTTTTTTTAGTCAAGTCAAGTTTATAAAATTTGAGTAAAGTCAAGTCGAATTTTTGAGTTTTTGTTTAAATTTAATTATAAATATTAATAAATATTATGATATTATTTGATTCCAATTTAAATATTTTTAACCATATAAAATACATACAGAATCGAGAGACTCGACTCAAACTTGAAAATCAATTAACTAATTACTAAAAATTTTGAGTTTACTAAATCAATCAATTAATTTATATCTAGATCTCAATCATTGTATTTTAGTTTAATTAATTTTAATTTTTTAAATTTTTCAAAATTTAAAATTTAATATAAATTGTTATGACTACATAATAAGGATAAAAAAAAATAATCTTTTAGAGAACAAAAACTAAATCTACAACTAAGCATAATACAAGGACTACCAATAGAATTTCAATTGTCTTCAATTGTCTGTCGATCAAATCAAAGCAAAGACTAAATCAGTAACTTATTAATAGTATAAGGACTAATAAATAGAATTTGATCAATTTTAAATAATAAAATGAAGCAAGAATTTGACTATTTCATCAAATTATATATTAGAATTACATTGTACGATAAGAATCCATTTACTTACAAAAAGAAAAATAAATAGATCCTTTTTTGGAATTTTTTTTGGAGCAAAGTAAAAACCTTCACTCATAAATGATCTTTCCTAGTAACCTTCAAACATGTTTGCATTTCCCTTCACCTGAATAAAATAAACACGAAATTAAAGTATAAGGATTAAATAACAAATTTAAACATAATAGGGGATGAAAATCAAAATTTGACCAAAATATTTCTTTTTAGGTAAACTACACATTTAGTACTCCATTTATCACTTTTATTTCTTTTTTGTCACCCTACTATTTGTTTTTCAAAAGCACACATAACATTATGTTTTGATTTCATTTTGATCACCTATCGTTAAAAAAATTAACAGAACTATTGACGTGACATTTTTTATTTTCTTCAATAATGATGTGACATTATCTTATGGTGACACATCAGCTTCACTCTTAAATTTTTTAACGACGGGTGACCAAAATGAAACCAAAACTAAACGTTAGATATGATTTTGAAAAAAAGATAGTTGGGTGGCTAAAACAGAACAAAAATGATAGTAGGGGTACTAAATGTGTAACTTCCTTTTGTTAATCTTACTTGGATCCTTGGTTGTTGTCTGAGCAGTGTTACTAAAATCACTGGCGCTATCAATTTCTCCTTTCCTCCGATGGTAAGAACCCATGGCGAATGTTGCACGATACCTGACGATCGCCGGTTCGACGCAGATGACACCGGATTGAATCTGACCACAATCGATGCCTCGGCCACGTGACCAATCGAGGTTTTTCTGAAATTTAGCATCGCCAACTCCATCTTTCGGCACACACAACTTCTTCCCCATATTATTTATACACCTTCGAATTACAAAACGCTGCTCGATAACTTCATGAATCCAATTTTATTGTTTTATTTTATTATTTTATTGCAAATTTACTTTGATATTTGATCTTGTTTTTGGGTTGTAAATTGTGTGTATATATATAGGAAAGATGGATCAACCATGGAAAAGTAGTTTATGATCAATATTTTTGACATATGGGAGGCTCTGAGAGTTTATATCTTCATCCATTAATGTATCCTAAGTTTTAGGGTAAGTATAACTAAATTTTAATTTAATTTAATGTATTTTTCGTAAAATATCTATTAAAAACTAGGGTAAACTACATGTTTAGGCACATAAACTATTATTTTTGTTCCATTTTGATACTTAAACTTTATATTTTTTTCAAAATCTTCCCTAACGTTTAGTTTAGATTTAATTTTGGTACCCCGTCATTAAAAACTTAATGGTGATGTTGACGTGTCACCATAAAATAATGTCACATCATCATTGAAAATACAAAAAATGTCACGTTAACAATTCTAATAATTTTTTAACAGCAGATACCAAATTGAAACCTAAACTAAGCGTTATGTATGATTTTGAAAAAAAATAAAATTTAAATACCAAACGGAACAGAGATAATAGTTTAAGTATTAAACGTGTAACTTACTCTAAAACTATAATGTTAATTTCAAATTAAATTATTTTTAATTCAAGTAAAATTAAGCCTTTTAAATTTGTATTTAATTCAAGCATATATTAACTTTGAGAAGAATTCATTAATTTTCTTTAATTTAAAACATAAACTCATTAATTAAAATTTTTTTTTTGTAAATCTTTCTTTGAATTTGGTTATTTTAAATATTTCAGTTGATTTAATTTTATGAAAGTAAATTTAAAAAATTACTTAATTTCTAGAGATGAGAAAATCATGAATAGAGGTTTGAGTACTCTGGATAAAAATGGTAAGGAGTAATGGCTTTTTATGAATTTAAAGTCCAAATATTTATGTTATCTAAAATATTTTTATACAGTCTACAAAAGGTCCATTACTTATTCTTTAATTTCTTAGGTAGTTTTTAAAAGAGAAGGACGTCGTTGAATTGAATTGAATTGAATTGAAGAAACCGAGAGGAGGAGAAAGCCATGAATTAACCTGCTTAAATGGCAAACTAACAGCAACAACAATACAGGGATCAATCATAATATCATGTAATTGATTTCTAGCCATTTTTTGATTGAAATGAGTAATTTTAATTGTTAGAAGCACTAAATCCTCGTGTTCGCCTACATCTAGTGTATCCGAACTCTTGAAGGGATCTAATAATATTTTAGATCCCTATCAATTTAAATTTAAGTAATATTAAACTTTTATCATCTGATTTTTAGATTAATAGGTCCTATTATTTAAAACTTATATAATTTGCCCTCTGAGTATTTGATCCTGACACTATCCTTTGCTTGTGGAATCAGAAAATTCAAGTATTGTTTAACCAATAATATAACATATATTATTTGTGTTAATATAATAAAATATGAAATATGAAGGATTGATTAAATAATAATAAAATTATTTAAGAGATTAATATGGAAAATCCACCTCAGATAATTAATGGGGACTATTAAGGAAATAAGTGGAATAAAAGGTAACAACATTTTATACCAACCACTTGACAAGAAGTGGACCCAACTGGAAAACGTTAGAATTCTTGGGAGAAAAAGAAAAATCTCAAATAATTAATGATATAGCCATTTTTAAGACACGATTGGCTAATTGTTTTCTGTCATAACCATGAATGGCTGACCATTAATTCTCTACCAACTCAACGGTAATAATTTGCGATATTCAAGGACGAACCAACTTACCTTAGTGATTAAAGAAATCATTATTGTTCCTAGAAGTCATAGGTTCGAACACCAGCGACTGCTAGGGTGATTGGGTGTTCATAGCCATTCGATTATAGGATGTTACTTTGTTGAGACCTCAGATATTAAAAGTTATAAAGTGGGTACCCGATTATTCATATATCTAACTCAGATTGATGTCAATTGTTAACAAAAAAAAGGACAAGTTTGGAATATAGGAATAATCAAATGGCTATTTTGTAAGTTTTAATAATCGGAAGACTCAATAAAACAGTACCTTATAGTCAAAGGACCATTTGTGTACTTTACCCTCAAAACTATTAAAATAATTATTAATATTTTAATTTATAAAATTGATATATAAAAAATAAAATAAATATAAATTCTAAAGATAATCCACGTATAATTTATAAAAGTACTGATAATTCACGCGTAATTTATGAAATATATAAATTATTGTCAGATGGTCAAATTGAATAAATATAAAGTTGAAAAATTAAACTGAAAATAAGAAAATTTAATCTGTTGGTTCTTGAAAACCCTAGGCTTGCCATTATTTAATCTCACGGTCACCGTTATTTTCAATATCAACAGAATTAATCTCACAGTCCATCCAAATAAAACATCGCACAAAAAGAGAGCTGTATACTATTTCACATTGTTGAATATTTGTAATCAAAGCATATGTTCTTGATGGCTGCATGAGATATGAAGCTACGTTTTCCACAACCAAATCACATATGAAGAAGAAAGAAAAATTCTAAGAACAAACTTCCCGAGCTCGTAAAAACAATAGGCTAGGGGAAGCAAATAAGAATCTATATAGTGTAGTTGACTTTCCGGGTTGTTTCGGACCAAACGACTCCGCAGTACAGTTACTTACCGACACGACGAGAAGCGTATGCATAGCTCCCCGAGTCGAAATAAGAAATGGAAATGTTCGAACGACATAACATGGTGTGTTATTGACTCCATTTTCGGCTTTATGAACCTACATTTCATTCCGAGGCCCGTGTTATTCACTGTCGAGAAAAAAGAATAGCTAAAAGAAACGCCGCGATACAATTCATCTCTCACAAAAATGACAAAAAGAATTTCAATCTTTCGGATCAAAATCTTTGCATGTCAGAGAGCCCTGAATGAAGAGCGTCGAGCCCTCTCATGCTTCAATCTTCGGGTATTATCGATGTTTATGGGTTTCAATAGTCGTTCTGCTTCTAATTCAGACAGGAGCGAAGGCTGCAGCCTCCTTAAATGCCCTTTGCACTGTTTATGGCCGGACGAAACATTGCCGCCGCTAATATTGTGTTCAAGAGGAGCAATCTGTCGCTGGTACGGTGATTGCCACTTTGCCTGCAAATAAGCAAGAGATCTCCATGGAGGGAACGGCATTGAGTTCTGCTTGAGAGACGACCGAGCAGCTTCAACCATAAGTTGAAGCAACTGTTTCAACCGAGTCCAGGAGCCAACATAGACAACCGGTAGTGAATTCAATATTTGATCGTAAGAATCAACCGCTCTAGCTATCTCAAAATGGCTTCTGAAGTCGATATCGATAATCAAACGCTCTAAATTCCCGTTGTTGTAATTGACCACATCAATATACTCATGATCACCTGCACATATATGTCACGAACTGGTTTTGTCACTACTTTTACAGCTCAGATAAAAAAAAATTGCCATGAATCGTACATTTTTAGACCAATCGAACAGAATGTAGAAACCGATTTTCGTTATGAACGGCATGGATGGACACTCTGATACAGGCAACAAAGATAGGGATGCAGCAGAATATAGATTCTCCACAACAAACTCTCATGCAAGCACACAACATATTCTACCCTCAAGGAAACAACAGAGTAGAGTGTATCAAATGATCCAGAAACAAAATAATGTATATATGCATACGAGTGCATAATTTCGGATTCAGAGGCTATTGCCATACCTCCAGGAACTTTGCCAGTACGCTGCCACTTCGATACACAAACAGCCGCATCATAGCCGGAAAGCCTCAACAGCTTTACCAGATAATATCTGATGCAACTGGCATTACATGGACCCGACTTCACATAGTGTAGGTCCGTCTCAGCCATCGATAATATAAGCGAATGAACCACTGATAACAAGTCCAAATCATATTGACAGACCGAGTGCTTATGGTACTGCAACACAACAGAACAAAACAAAAGAGAATTAGATGCCAATAAGCAAATGGTTTTGGTAGGAAAATAAGAGGTTAAAAATACAAAGAATCACAAAACTCCCATGCTTATAGATTCCCAAATACTCTGAACTATATCAAATATCTCGGATTGTGTTACACAAGCTCGGAAGTCGGTATTTTTGGTCTAATGGCAATTTAGGTCCTATAAGTTTATATATTAGACAATTTAGGCCTTGTCCCCCCTTAAATTTTGAGTTTAAACACTTAACAAGCCCTTGTATTTTTTAAGTTTAGCAATTTGGCCCCACCCGATGTTGAATCTTGTGTCCATCCCTTGTCGGTATCCAGAATTTATTCATACAATTTAACCTAAAAAATCATTTATCATTTATGCTAATGAAGAGAGGCAAATCACAATAACGATAAGCATATCTAAATCTGTGAGGGACTGAGGTCCTGGAAATTTTCTTTGCATTTTCTACTAATAAAATAATTTCGCATCTCCTAAAGTTTTATAATTCCGCACCGCCACCTCCAAATTACTAAAATAAGTTTCTAAACTCGCCCCGCTTAAACAGAAAATCATGTATCCCTCCATGATCTGAATCATGAACAATAGCCGTATATAGGATTTCTAAAGAATTGACGTACTCTTCAATCTCCAAACAGATGAATCCAGAATTCATTTCCCTCAATCTCAAAAAGGTGAATTCAAAAAACCAATCATATTCAAATTTGCAACCTCAATAACGTAAATTTCCTTGCATATTCAGCCTTATGAAAAAAATAACAACAAAACCCATTATGAAACATATGAATTAAAAAAAACAGAAAAGGAAACAATTATTCTCAAAGGGAAAATGGATAAAAACTAACAGATATTTTATCAGCGAGGTGGATAAGATCGGAGAAACTGGACTCGCTATCACTGCTACACCAAGAATCGGCGCCGGCACTACCCCCGTTGTTTTCCAAGAAATCACTAACCATCAAAGCCAAATCA